CAAAAACAAAAAGTTTGCATCTTTTTATCTTACTGGTCCTCTCTCCTCCCCATCTTTGTAGCTGCTACTTATTAACAAAGATAGTCTAAAATTGTTGTTCTATTCTAAATGCTAAACTACTGACCAAATCATACTGTTCTGAGCGGACCTATTTGAGCAGTATTAGCAGCATTCGATGAATGTTTATCTGTAGTGGTCGATTGCCCACCAAAGTTGCTACAATTGGATATATCGCTAACATATTTGGTGTTTCCTTCTTTTTTTTTTTTTATTTTGTCATGTCATCTGTGTTGTTTGTTTTCTTTGTTTTTCATTTTTTTAAAAATTTTTTAATGTCTGAAATATGATGGATGTTTCAAAAAAAAAAACCAAAAAATTGGGACATTTCTTATATAAAATCAAAGAAAAAAAGACGGAAGTAAGATTTTTGAATTTTCTTTGTAATCTTTTCAGCGTCTTTTTCTTCTCATCCGCCTTCTTCCCCCCTCTTTCCCCCTCTGCACTTGATCTAAGGCTATTAGTTTAAAAGGATTTTATGCAAATAACTTATTGCCACTGATTAAGGCGATATTGTGTCATTAAAATGACATATCATTTCGTCTTACTTTGATTGGCTTTTCAATATTCACTGATTGTAAGGTATAAATAAAAGTTTTGAAGTTTAATCTAATTGGTTGATCATAAAGATGGATTAAAAAATTTGATCATCGATAAATCAGAGGTTTGGTATCAGGGAGATTCTCCAGAAATAAATAAGTGGTCAAAAGATGTTACTATTTAAAAATTAGCTATGATTTCTCTTTTGTTTATTTGCTTATTTTTTCTTTTCTTATTTGTTTGATCGTTCTAAAATTTGTTGGTTTAACGTTTGTTGTATCGTCTACGATATGCTATAAAACTTTAGGAAACAGTTGGAATATTGAAGTTGAATAGCTGCAATATGTGCTAAAAGATTTGTTGTCTTCAAAGAAGCTTTACGGTGGTTAATGCCTCACATTATGCAGCGGAGAACTGTACTAATCTTTTTGTCTTTTCTTTTTATTTTTTGTCTTTTTTTTTCACCTTCAAATATCTTTCTGTAAACATTAGTAGTTGAAAAAAAAAAAAAAAAAAACAATATTTCCAGGAAAATATGTGAATGAAATCGATGTAGGAAACTTTTTTTTTTTGCTGCCCAGAAATTGCTGAAAATTGATTTTTGTTTTCTGAAAAATTGCTTGCTGGCTTTTATTAATGTCGACTGATGTTGTGGTTTTTTTTTTGTTCCTTTTTTTCCTTCTTGCAAACATAACAGTACATGGATGTCAAATTGAATCATCAAAGTGTCTTATCTCTCAATGTCAAAACTAAAAAAAGAAAAAAAAAGATATATTACAAGCGGTTTTTAAATAAATAAACAAAAAATGAATCATTTTGTGTTTCTGATTCTTTTACTCGCAAAAGACAAAAGGATTATTTCATGCTTTTTTTTTTCTTGTCTATTCCAATACTGAACTAAGTTTTGGGCAATATGGCTAACCGTATGAATATTTCAGACCATTGAACATGATCATCGCTTGAACAGTTACTGGAATAGCTGCCACGACTCATTGTATGCTAACAACCTCGTTTTAGCTCATTATTATAATGGTATTGCTTAAGCTTTTTCTTTCCAAATAAATGCTAAAGCTGCTCT